GTCGGGAAAAGAAAAGTCAAAATACGTGATTTTTACCGGAGTTATAATAAAAAAAAGTAGCTAGTCCTTCAGAGTCCAGTACAGCATCTACGAAAAATAAGTGTGTATACCTAGGCTTAAGTTAGCACGAAAAAAATGTTTTTTGAGGAATTCGCAGGGAGAAGTCAGATCGCTCGCGCGAAATGCTTCAGTTTTCCCGTCGTTCCGCGGTCTCACGAAAACGCACGGCTCGCGGGCTTTCTCGGAGCCTCACGGCGCCGATTATCTCCATTCGGCAGATCCGCCGAGGCGTTTCGGCTGGAGCCCCGGCTTTCGAACGAGCCTCGGCTTAACTCGGTTGTTGTGAATAAGTAAGCGAAGTGTTGCGAAGTGCTGCAGAAGTTAGGCGAACCCCCGGGCGCGCCGGTAGCTGGGGTGGCTCGAATTAAATTGTTATACGGATGAGCTGCCACGAGGAATACTCGAGCGAGCGACTTTGCTGCTGCCGCCAACGTCGGCGCCGCCGGGTGTGAATGTTTAATTACCGGCTTTCATTATTGTTAATAAAATAATAGCGCAGCCGGAGGGGCCCGCGGAAACGCGGGACCGCGCGACGCGAGTCGCCGTGCTTATCGTATCGTCGGCATTTCTTGGGATTTCGTCGCTTATCGGCCGAAACGATTAATATGGGTCTGCGCCGAATTTATGGAAAAAAGAATATCCTTGTTTAAAAAATATCTTTATTGACATTTTGAAAATAAGATTAATGTTAAGATGAGATTATATGGCGTTAAATGAAAATAAATTTGTTTTCAAGACGAATATATAACAAATTAACACATTATTTTCTCATAGAATATTACAATGTTAATATTCTTGGTTATATATTATTAGTCTTTAATCAAGACGAATATAGTCAAGTTAACACAATCATTTTCTCATACATGAGCAATAATAATAATGTTGGTTATATATGAGAAGATATAATTGTGTTAATTTAAATATATTCATCTTGCCTAAAGACTAATTTATCTTCGTTCAACGTCATATAATCTTATTTTAACATTAATCTTATTTTTAGAAAATGTCAATAATAAAAATATTTTCCAAACAAGAATGCCCTTTTTTATGTACCGGAAATGCGCAATACGTCTTCGCGTAGAAGAAGCAATCAGGGATCGTATTTTGGACGCGTATTTGAACACTGAATATACATTTCTGACTCTTAAACTGAAATGACGTGATATAGGACGCTCGTAAAACGAAAAACGGAATTTGAAATTATTCACCAGGTGTGTAATTTCAGGACGCCCAAAAGAGTTGCTCATAAATCCACTATTTATCGAGCAAAATTACGTTTCATATATTGATTTCGCTATCTAAAAAATAAATATTAATTTGGAATTAATTTCATGATATTACTTCGCCACGTTTTATTCGGTATTGCAATCCTACTCAAAACATAAAACAACTAGCCTATCACAAAACCGATGTAACAAAGGCTATTTTTTCTTTTATGCCACGTTCGCTAAATATGTGACATTTATAACATTTATAACAGTAAGTGTTTTTATTTGATAATATCATTTTTTACAAAGTTATACTGTGTGATAAGAGCCGTTTGTATTGCTTCCATCAGATAAGATTATATGTGCAAAATTGTGATATTTAGTTTAAAATTTCTTACGAACGGTGCAAAAAAATCGTACGAAATTTCAACTACAAATGTATTTTACTGCGATAAATGTTACATTTTGTAATAATTTTAAGCACTTTGGTTTAAATGAATAAATTCCTTATAAAAGAATATTTATATTTAATCCTTAAACGACAAAGTGGAGTTCAAAGATAATTTCATTCGGCGCATATTTTTCAGCGCAATCTATTGAAACTTTGTGATATGTTTACGCCAAAATCAGATATTACACTGAAAAAATATTTTTATATACAATAAAAAATATGTTTGTACTAAATTTATTTATCCTACAAATTTTAATATGCAGAAGGAGAAAATAAACTCAAAAATGTCGTTTATGCCCCATAATTGCACCTTGTCGTTTAAGGATTGGGTGACGGGTTAACGTTCGTTCTATATGTCTAAAGTAACACAAGTAGAAACATCTGAGAGAAAAACTGATTACTGGCCAGTAACTAGACAGTTTTTATTGATTAGGATTAATTAGACAGTTACTGTTTTAAAACTTAGCAGAAAATATTAGCTATTTTTTCATAGCTAGTCAGAAACTAGATTTGAAAAAATAGTAAGTAAATACTGGACAGTTTCTGTCCATTAAGAACTCTGAAAATACTGTTCAGTATTTCTTGGGTAGTTTTTTGTTAGAAACTATGTAAGAAAAATAGTAAGTAAATATTGGATAGTTTCTGCCCAGCAAAAACTGAAAATACTGTTCAGTATTTTTGGACCAGTTATTTGTCAAAAACTATAGAAGAAAAATGGTAAGGAAATGCTGTGCATTTTCTGTCCAGCAAAAAATCGGAAATTACTGACGAATTTTTTTTAGATAATTCCTGACCAAAATAAAATAAAAGATTATATTAAAGATGAAAAAAATTTTTTTAAATAAAAATTATAAAAATTTAATTTTAATAAAATTATTGTTCCTATATATATATATATATATATATATATATATATATATATATATATATATA